GCTTTTTGTGCGATCTATTACGCATGGGTCCACAATTGATTCGAAGGCTTTGCAAAGTTTGTATATATTACATCTGCATTCTTTTGTCTTATAGTGCATTTAGGACCGTGTCGTAGTGATCATGTAGTTGAGAAGACAGGGAGCGAGCGACCGGTTTCTAACCAATGATGCCCTGGGTTGTGTAACTGATGGGTTTCTAGATGGGTTGGTGTTCTTGCTTCTTTAGGACCTTTCAACGATTTTTTTGATATGGGATGTTAGTGCTATTGTTCTCTGTAGTTCTTTGGCTGTTTGCTTTACTGCCCCTTTGTGGAGTGGGGCTATATCTGTGGTTTTTAGTAACTGGGGACGACCCCGTGTCCTTGCTCCCTCTCCGAGGATGGAAAAGGCTCGTGATAGGGGGCTTCTTGCGTTTTGATGAACACAGAGTTACATGAGTTGGCCCTGGAGGCAGAGTGCATGGGCATGTTCTTTTAATCGCATGTTCGAAGTCCTTTGGCGTAGGATAACATCGGATAGGCTTGTGTTAATCAAATTTTAAGCCTCTCTCATAAAAATTTCATTTTGATCTTCGTCTTCATCAGTTGTGTTAGAGGCTTGCGAAAAATGAGTCATATTGGGACTTGAGTAGCTCACTCATTTCCTTGCTCGTCATTGGTGGACAAATCTTGTTACACTTAGGGGCCATTTTATGGACGTTTGTTCTCGATTATGATTTGGCATAGGGAAGAAATTTCTTTGGGGTTTCTTCGTTTTCATTTATGGCTTTAGTTCTTCCGCGATTCCTGTCTCCTTAAGTTTCTTTATAGCTTAAGTTCGATGCTTGCTATTTCTTGACCAGTGTCTCACTGCGCAATTTTCAGATTATTTTGACCTCTTTTGCCGCTATGTTATTTTTTCGTCGCCTGTATGGGAGCGCATGTCTCTTTCGATTTTACATCTTACTCCTCCTTTTTCTTAGGGAATAAGCCTTGTGTTTCTTCGAGTGCCTCCGAGTTAATCTGTTCTAGGTAAGTTTGGGTATGTGTTGCTTAGTATATCTTCCAAAATTATATCGGTTAGGACTTGGTTTACTTGGTCCCACTTTATGTTTTTGTTATTGATGTTGGGAATTTTGGTTCGAATGCTCCCTCGTGACTAGTCTCATTTTTGTCGGTCTGGGGCTCCACGCATACATGTCTGAACCTCAAATTATGTATTGTTGTGATTGGTTATTGTTTTGATATGGTGACTATTTTTTATTCAGATCATCAATGTTAGTGTAAGATGAGGGTATAGTGTATTCTCCAGTCTAGTGCTCTATTATTTTGCTGGTTTAAATGGAATTTTGAGGCTGAGATTTAAATGCTTTCGTGTGAGTAGTGAGTTTCATCAGGCTGCCCTCCTGGTGTTATTACTGCAAACAATATTATTGGCTATATTCCTACATTTTTAGGTGCTTAAGTTGATATCCCCCAGGTGCAACGATGTTGGGAGCAGGGAGTGGTAGATTTTCCAGGACAGTGGTAATTTTTTTACAGCTGTTCCTTGGAATTGCTGGGATGTTGCATCCGGAGGCTTGTAGAACTTACCACATGAATCAGGTTTTGGTACCTCCGAACCTTTCTGCTAAACTTCCACTACGTCATTTGAGGCATTAAGCAGTGTTTCGTGCAAACTAGTGACTCTGCAATGTACAGGGCCCAAAACCCCCCCCCCCTTTTGTCTGTTCACTCTGTCACATCTGGATAGGTTGTAAACTGGGATCCTTATTTCGTTGTCCAAGTGATCCTTTATGTGGGTCTCAGTGTAAGCCGCGAAACATTGCTTTGCCTCTGCAAGCCGTCACGGAATGAAAGGTATTTTTGTTGTTGGTTTGCTGGCTTTAGTCCTGTATATTTGCAAGAAGAATGTTTCGGACTGGTGGTATTGTTGGTTCTGGGGGGGATTTTTTTCGGATTTGCAGTATCTGTATCGGTTGGTTTGGAGGGAGGCCATCGACGTGTTCAACTCCGGAATGAACTCGGTTTTGGTGTCGGTTTTTCTGCCCATTTCCTGCCAGTTTTTTTTCCGTCCTGGCACTATAATAACCTTCCTCTTGAGTGGCTGTGGCTCAGGTTTTCACATGGCCTGGATGTTTTGTATCTTTTTGTCCCCTTTAGATGGTATGCCTGGCATTGAGTTATAGCACAGTCTTCCTGATACTGAAGAGGGTACACATTTCAGGGTGAAAAAGCTTACAGGAAAGGGGAGGAGTTTGCATTTTCCTGTTGTCAATGGGCTTGGCATTTTCTAGGGTGGTCTTAGTTGCATGTCCCATCGGTTTTTCCCTGGATTTCCATGCCTGCAGATACAAGTGCATAGTTATGTGCACAGGCTTGGTTTCGTCATGCCTTGGGTTTCTGTGTACTGTATATTCCCTGTTGGTGCATGTTTCCCTGTCTTACTTCTATCCTCCCTAGCACCAACAATGGAGCTCCCACCAGTTGGTTTGTGGTAATTTATCCTCACTATTGCATTGGGCTCCTCTTGTTTGCTATTACTGCCGGTTTTTTCTTACGTTTGCAATATTTGTTTTATATTTATCTTTGAATACCTTATGGGGGAGTACAACAGACCTTGCAGTCTTCAAGCTGGCACTGGACAAGCACCTAAAGTCGGTTCCTGGCCGCCGGGCTGTGGCTCGTTACGTTGGTTTGCGTGAAGCAGCTTGTTACAGCCTGGTTGTCAGGTCTGATCCACCAAGAGGCCTGGTCACAGACAGGGCCGGGGGGGCGTTGACCCCCGGAACTCTCTCCAGGTAACCCACGGTTCTACTAGGAGTCAAGAGAAGAGCGGACCTTTTTGCCGAAACACTTGCTACCAAATTGGCTATGTTCCTGATCCAGAAGGGACGTTCGTTGGCTAGCTGCAAGAAACTGATGTCAAAAATGCAGTTTGTGGTTGACAATAAGGCAGGGGGAGGTGCATTTCCTTTTAATCGCTTGACCAGAAAAGGCTGTGGCCCCAGACAAGTTGAGCCCAAGATTGCTGGATGTGCAGACAGCTAGCAGCACATCTAACTCGCATCTATTCAGCACTTCCTAGTTCAGTGTAAATGGCCCTCTCTGTGGAAAGAGGACTGGTCTAACTTTTTTTCCATTGGGGGTCCTTAATTTGTCCCCACGGATGCGACCACTCACCAGTCGACTAACACCAGGTTACCTATTTGCTGCTAGGTGAACAGGACAACAGGTGTAAGGAAAAGTGTCGAATTGTTTCTACACGCCGGGAATCGAACCCGGGCCCTCCGTTCCGTAGGTGTGAAGCGGGGGAGCTTTTGCCACCAGGCCCTGGGCCTCTGAGCCTTCAACATAGGTGGTGTTGTGGGTGGCATTACTGTTATGTACATAGGGCCAATATTGTCCAAAAATACCACACTTGATCCTCTTCGAGGACAGCGTGAAGATCACGATTTTATGCCACCAAGACGGGCAGGAAAGCAGGCATTTTCTCTTCTGGCTGTACCTTCTCCAGAACTCACTCTACATCTGAGATATACAGAACCAGGATGACTCGAAGTATGGAACACTTCGAAAGCGCATATTGATGTCAACGAGATAAAGTTAGTTCCTCAAATGAAAAGGCTGGCCACAGATGGTCCTGTTTCATCATGATTTCCTATTGTTGGTTCTCATCATAAATATGCTCTTCAAATGATCTGATTGTAGGTAACAGTCTTAGGCTTCGTCAATAAAGTTAGGAATCCTTAACCTGTATTTGCTTGTCGGGGTGGCCCGGGGGCCTGTGGCTAAAGCTCCCGCTTCACACACGGAGGCCGGTTTCGAATTCCCGGTGGGTGGAAACATTTCGTCACGTTTCCTTACACCTGTTGGGTCCTGTTCACCTAGGCAGCAAATAGGTAAGGCAAATAGGTACCTGGGTGTTAGTCGACTGGTGTGGTGAATCCTGGGGGTCAAAAGTTTAAGGACCCCAATGGAAATAAGTTAGACAGTCCTCGATGACGCACGGACTTTCTTGGGTTATCCTGGGTGGCTAACCTCCGGGGTTAATAATCCGAACGAAATTCTTTTTTATTTATTTATTTATTTATTTATTTAATTAAAATAATTTGAGCACACATACAGATGTACATCAAATACTAGGTAAATGTAGACAGTATGCCATAGCCACTTTTACTATGCATTGCATTACGGGCTGGCTTAAAATTTAAACTTAAGATTAACTATGCAATGTGAAATCAGTGATAAAACATTAATGTAAACAGGTTACTTAATGCACCAAGTGAGTTTTTACAAAGACAGAGTCATATGGTTGTATGCATTGTGATACATTCTAGTAGAATGGAGTAATTCTGTTAGGTAGTGTATTTAAAAAAGTCTAAAAGTTAGATTGGGTTTTTGGTTTTACTTTCTATGTGATATAATTGTGAGAAAACATTTAAAGATATACAATTTATATGGTGCAGTTATTAAGTATTTATTTGGTTTTGGGTAAGTGATTTTGAGGAAAGAGACTTGGAATTTATAAACAGGTAGTGTTTTTTCTTTTATATTTTCAGGTATTGAATTCCAGTTTTTAGGGCCTCCTTTTATGTGCATTGAGTTTATTCCATAGTGTCCTGGATGGACCGGGGAAACTTCAAAGAGTGATCTGTGCCTTGTGTTATGGTCTTGTGTTCTCTGTTGATGGTTGGCAAGGTGATGTTTGAGGGGTGGGTTATATCAGAGTTAAGTGTTCTATGTATGTTATAGGTGCAGTAGTTAAGTATGGATGTTTTGTATGGGAGGAGTTTTTAGTGTATTTAATATGGTGGAGGTGCTGCCTATAGGTGAGAATTTGTTATCATTCTAACTGCAGCCTTTTGTTGGGTAATTAGTGGTCTGAGATGGTTACTTGTTGTTGAGCCCCATGCACAAATTCCATAGGTGAGATAGGGGTAAATAAGAGAGTGATATAGGGCCAGGAGGCTGACTGTTGGAGCATAGTACCAGTTTCTCTTGTCTATTATGCTAGGGATCCTTAACCTAATCTTGTACTTTTATATTAATAGTGTGACATAATGGGTGGGTGATAAGAGATCTTGCTCGAATCTTCTAGCAAGTTTATTTAGGTACAGGTACACATAAGTACAATTATACATAGTAACGTGTAAATTACCTAGGATAGCCTCCCAAAAAGTCAGTGACTTATTTCCATTGGAATAGCCAGAACTGAGTATATCTGTATTTGATTAATTAAATAAAAACTGCGATACAAAATTACAGTTTTATTAAGTGTGTGTGTGATATAAACTATATAGTAAGTTTACAGTATCTAGTAATTGATTTATGATTAGAGTGGAGGTGATGGTGGGGAGGGGATTGAGCAGCAGAGGATGCTGACTCCAAGTACATCTGGAGAACACTATGATCAGGTCAAATCTCGTCAAACATCCACTCTGCCATTCAGGTACGAATGCTTTACCTATGTTCCTGGATCGTTAGGTAGCAATTATAATTACATGGAACTTAAACGTGATAGATGACATATGTAGCAAATGATTATTGGAGATTTATATCAAGAAGTGTAAGGCAAACAGAAGTCCAGATGTCATACTGCAGCTTTATACATCATTAGTAAGGCCTCACCTAGATTATGCAAGTCAGTTCATGAGTCTCCATATTACAGAATGGACAAAATTTCGTTAGAAAACATTCAACGTAAATTCATACTTCTTAGGATAGTCAACATTCAACGGTTGTTAGTGTAAGGGACTCATATGCAAAGTTAGGTATTTTATTACGGAAACGTTTCGCCTACACAGTATGCTTCTTCAGTCGAGTACAGAATAGTTGATAGAAGCAGAAGAGACCCTTGATGCACGATGTATCAGTCCATCACCCTTAAAGTTTTGAGGTGGGTCAGTCCTCAGTCTTGAGAGAGGCATTGCGAAGTCTGAAACAATGTGAGTTGTTGAAAGTATGTATGTATAATGGTTCGCAAGACGTTGTCCTGACACGGGTCTCAATCTTGCGTTGACCCTGTCTCTGGCTCGAGGGAGGAGTTTTACAATATGCGACTTATGCTGTTAAAGCACTCTTCTGGTCAGTTCAATGGTGATCTAATAGCGACAACACCGTAATGTACTCCTAACTATGGGCACTAGCGAGGAGGAGGATATGTCGTTATCAAAGGTATCAGCTTGTCTGGTTGGTGATCTGGTACACTAGTGTGGCCGACAGTCATCTCTGTTCCTCTTAGGGAGGTAATATCACTCCTAGTTGCCTGTGAGTGCTCTCAGGAACTTTCGCACTTCCAGAAGATAGTGTGTTAGGGGCCGATGGACAACGCCCCCCCCCCCCCCCCCCCCCCCCCCTGCTGACAGTACTGGACATCTCCTCCTCAGCCTTGTCTTCCTTCATCATGGCTGTGGGAAAGCCCAATAGAAGCCATGGATGGCGGTTATCACTGTGCTCTGGACCTGCTTCTATCACAGGAGGGTGTTCTACCTGTATGTCGCTGCTCGGTACCCACTGTTTGAGATGGTGTATCACCTAAGACCTTCCACCCATAAGTTTCATGGTCTGGCCAGCCACCTGCTTTGGTCTGTTGTTGGTGATGGGACAGTAATCCAACATGTGGATGTCTGTTGCTGCCTTGGCCTGCATCTTCTGCCGCATCATTTTACACGGATGCCTGCATGGCTGGGGATTCCCAGGTTCAATGTCGACCTGTTACCTGATCTTCTAAGGCTGTCATTAAGTCAGGATCGATGTGATGAGGGTGAACATTGTCTGTGGTTTGAGGATGGGTGAGGGCATTGATTTGCAGACGGTTATGTATTTATTTGCGAAAACATTGCTAAAGCTTCAAGACAGCCATCACATAATTATTTAATACATACCCAAATATTTTATTAATAGCGAGAGTACCAAAATGTTTAAGACAAGACTGTATAACTTTGCCTGCTGTAAATAACTATAACCTATGTAATTTCTTCCCATCAAGGGAGGTTCCTTGACGCTGGTGAGGGGCTCTTAATATAATAATAATAATAATACTATCTTTACAGTATCTCTACAAGTACATGTACAAGGTATACAGGCCTAGCTGGTATCAATGACATACTACTACTAAATAGAAAGCCACTTGTTGTGCTGAGCATTTTGGGCAAATTAGGTCAGTTTTGTCCCAGGATGCAACCCACACCAGTCGACTAACACCCAGGTACCCATTTTATACTGATAGGTGAACATGGACAGCAGGTGTTTTATGGAAACATGTCCCTAATGTTTTCCAGACGTAACGGAGATTCGAACTACCCAGTGATTATTATAATAATCCTTGACGCTGGTGATGGGCTCTTGACATAGGGGAATTGGATCTGTGTGCCAGTTCCCTGAATTGAGTCTGAATACCTTCCATTCCTTCCCCCCCAGGTGCTGTATAATTCCTACGGGTTTAATGCTCCCCATGATTACAATATGTAATTTCTTAAAATACTGTTCCTTACGATAAGTATACTTTGTTGTAAAGCCCATGTGTTTCATCTAACATGTAGATCATTTATTACTACTGTAACCTTAGTAATTAAAAGATTTTTGAGGCAATTCCCAGACTCCTTATGTGCCTCTAAAATCCTGAATATAAGCATGATGGAGCACTGCAGTAGGCTTATTGGCCCTTGCTAAGCAAATCCAATTTTGAATAACTGCATTTATGTACAGTTCAGGATATTTATTGGTCAATTCGTACTGTATTCCTGAGTATATCTGGAGATACATTGTCAACATTAACAGTATACCTACCACCACTGATATCCATAACACAAACACACTTATCTCTTATGTAGATTATCATACTACATTAAAAATCTTAGCCACAATTTTACTCCTTGGAATGAAATCATATAACGTGAACCTCGTCAATATTTTATGTCATAAACAGTTTATCCATGTCACGGGAAACAGTTGTTTGTCATGCAAATTCATCAAGATAGATAAGATAAGATAAGATTTCGTTCGGATTTTTAACCCCGGAGGGTTAGCCACCCAGGATAACCCAAGAAAGTCAGTGCGTCATCGAGGACTGTCTAACTTATTTCCATTGGGGTCCTTAATCTTGTCCCCCAGGATGCGACCCACACCAGTCGACTAACACCCAGGTACCTATTTGCTGCTAGGTGAACAGGACAACAGGTGTAAGGAACGTGTCGGAATGTTTCCACCCGCCGGGAATCGAACCCGGGCCCTCCGTGTGTGAAGCGGGAGCTTTAGCCACCAGGCCACCAGGGCCATAATAATAATTTTAGGAGTACAATCACATGACACAATGACTCAGCAACCCAGCATTGGGTGGCTGGGTTGTGGGTCATGGATTGCACCCACACCACTGCAACACCACCACACTTTCACCACTTCCTTGATGCAATATCATGTTCTTTCACCCTCAGTAAATGCAAGTACAGTGGACCCCCGGTTATCGGCTGTAATCCGTTCCTGAAGGTCAGCCGATAACCGAAATGCCCGATAACCAAATTAATATTTCCCATAAGAATTAATGGAAATAAAATAAATTCGTTCCAAACAAAAATATTCACAAAAAAAATAATTTTTTTTTACAATTATGTAAGTATTACATACCTTTATTGAAGACTAATGCTGGCTTCTGGAAGATAGGGAGGAGGAAAGAGGGAGGAGTTAGTGTTTGGAAGGGAAACCCCCTCCATGGAGACTTTAGGTCGCAATGCCTTCTCTGGGGTTACTTCCCTTCTCTGTCTTTTAATGCCACTAGGACGAGCTTGAGAGTCACTGGACCCCTGTCTCACAAAATAACTGTCCAGAGTGCTCTGTTTCTGGTGTCTCTTTAAGATTTCCCTGAAGTGGGACAGGGTTTTGTCACTAAACATGTTGCAGATATGGCTTGTTTCAGCTTTGTCAGGGTGGTGTTTCTCTACAAAAGCCGTGCATTTGTCAGAACTTGCAGCCTCACCATGCCTTACAACACTGTGTATGCCACTACGCTTCTTAAATCTATCAAACCATCCTTTGCTGGCCCTAAATTCACAAACTGCAGCACTTGTTCCAGGCATTTTCTTTACAAGATCCTCATGCAACTGCTTTGCCTTCTCTCAGATGATCGACTCCACTACACTGTCTCCCACTAATTCTTTTTCCTTAATCCACAATAATAATAACTTTTCCATCTCTTCCATTATTGGTGTCCTTTGTTTAGTTAGAGAAGCTACTCCTTTTGCTACATTAGCGTCTTTCATTTGCTCTTTCTTTGCCAGATTTAGATTTAGATTTAGATTTTGCCACCGAAGTGGCTAGTTTATTGTGCACCCCATATCCATCCTGTGGACGGTAGCGCGAGAGCATATGGATACACAAAAGGCCTAGGAACTAGGCCCCAAAGGGTTAACAGGAATACATATGGATTTATATCTACATATCTATAGTTCACTTATCTGTTACAAGCAAATTTAGGAAATTTGCTTAGTATATCTGGTATCTTATTTTCATTAATAAGATATCTTGACATGTCACATAGGTTATTATACTGTCTGTCTCTGTATTCCTCAATAAGTGGACAATTAAGCACATAGTGTTCAAGAGAGTGACCATATGCCTGATCACATAATTTACATTTAGTTTGATCATCATCTGTGTGTCTCCCAAACTGCCAGAAGTACTTGTAACCAAGCCTAAGCCTGGCCACTACAACATCAGTCAGTCTGTTCACATTGCAAGTTGCTCCATAAACATACTTATCTACGTTCATGTTATCATAGTGGGTTATAGATCTACTCAGGCTTCTAACTGCATTCCTATAACAATCATTTTCATTATTTACTTCTCTCCTAATATTATTCCTAATGCTAGACACAGTTATACCAAAGTTATATTCTACATTCTCCTTCTCTTCTTGGCTAACATATCAACTTTATCATGAAGGAGTAATCCAATGTGTGATGGGATCCATAGCAATTGTACATTAATTCCTTTGTCCCTAATTTTTGAGTATCTATACCTGGCTTCCCCAATGAGCATGTTGTTGGAGTCATTATATGAGTCAAGAGCCTTCAATGATGACATAGAATCAGTAATGATGATAGAGTCAAGCTCAGTGTCATAGGTTAGCTTTAGCGCCATTAGGATTGCAAACAATTCAGTTTGCAGTGTAGACGCCCAGTTGTTAATTCTTATGCCTAACTCAACAAATTTATTATCGTTCTTAACTAGGGAGGTGGCAACAAGAGCAGATGCAGCCCTGCCAGAAGACACCTGTTTAGATCCATCAGTGTATATAACTTGTGATAACTTGTTACTACCAGCTAGGTGAGAAATTTCTTCTTGAGCAGTTGCTCTAACAAGAGATTTAAGGAAGGGATTACTAGCAATGAGCTTCTTGGGAGGGACTTGTAGGTATGTGATATTAAATGAACACATCTTCCATGGAGGGGTGAA